GTTCTGGAGGAGAGTGTGTGTGTGTGTGTGTGTGTGTTGTGATAACCAGGGAACACAGATCCTTTAAACAACAACGTCTCGTCACTCAATATTAAGCAGAGTAACCCTGATTCTGTCTCTCAGTTTTTATGTATCTCTGCGTGGACGATCGATACCTCATCAGCACGCTGTAAGGTTGATGTGCCGCGGGGGGAAATAACCACACGGTCCAAACGGCTGCAGAGAAACACAGACGCTCCAACGATCCCGTGTCTTTACTTTGTGACGGGCTGCAGCGTCTTGTTTTTATCTGCAGCCTGTCGGAGGACAAACAGAACTGTCTGACTGCATGTTGGTGCACGTGTTGATGTTTCTTTGTGACCTGTGAAGAATCTTTTTCTCCAAAAACACATTTTAAAACCTGAGGAGGGATGATGTTTTTCTAAACTCTTGGAAATCTTAGGCTTTTCTACTTCCTCTCTGAGGCCTCGTGTACAGAAAAGCACTGCATGTCTGTCCAGTCTGACAAAAAGTTTGTGACTTTTTTAGGATGCGGGTTCAAGACACGACCTGTAGGAGACAAAACTACGGGGACTATCAAAGATTTAGAAAAGAGCGGCGGTGACATCAACAGCACATTTCTAATAAAGTCGAAAGATTTTCATCTCGAAGCGGGCGTACAAAAAGGGAAAAAGAGAATTTAGGTTCTGCGCACTTTCTCCAGACGGCGGCCTGATACGCTCTCTCCTGGCGCTCAGAAAAAACCCCAGGTGGTCACATGACTTTATGAGCCTGTTGTTTAACACTGCCATGAACACATTCACACCTTTCTAACACACTACCTGAACATAAAAATCATTGCTTGACTTTCATCTCATTTAAATGTATTTGTCTGTAACTTTGCTTATGTTTTGCTATTTTGTCCGTTTTATTATTATTATTATTTTTTTTTAATTCTTTTTTTATTTTAGTTTATTTGTTCTCGCTTTAGTTGTCATGTCTATATATTCTTGTTTCATTTTGTTCACCTTATCACCAATAAAAATAAAAATAATAATAATAATAATAATGTTATACTATGAGGATTTTACTTTACACAAGTTTGATTTTGAAAGCTGCAAATTGTTTTGATATAATAAATAAATATCTTGCAACCGTAAAATAAAAAGATCCTGTTGAACTTGCAGGACGGAGAATATAAAAGAAACTTTCTTATTAACTGCTGGCTGCTCTCAGAACTCCAACCAGCCGATGACTCGGGGAGTAAGGCGACACGGCGTTCTGAAGGTCGTTTGTTTTAACAGGCGAAGTTTCAGTCGACTCCGATGAAAACAACATGATTTTTCAATGAAGTGTTGTGAATATCATCGCCGTCTCTTTGAGGGACTTTCAAAGACAGCGCGGGCGTTTAAAGAAAGTCAGATTTGAATAATTCAGCTGCAGCTGTGTGGACTTTTCACTCCGCTGATTTTATTATTTCATATTTTCCTCTGAGTTTGTTCGGACTGGATTTCAGTTTCACCCACAGCCTGCAGTCCGGATTATTCAGAACCAGGACCAGAGAGTCACTGGTCTGATCCTCGTTTGACCAGTTCAGCTTCCAGAAGCGTGTTAGTCTGGGTCAGTGTGCTCTCCACTACAGCTCTACTTTCAGAAACATGTCGAGTATTTGAAAACATTTTGCCCCGATCTCTCTGTCCTCATGAGTCATCGAGAGCCTGAAGGATTGTGTTTGTGTGTCCTGGTTTTAAAATATGGAAAACCTCTTTGTGAAGGAAACTGGTGTTTTGTTTTGTGGACAACATGTGAAAGAACAAAGATTCAAGATTTGTATTTGTCACCTGCTCAAACAGATGTTCAGTGAAATGTAAAGACTGTTCAGCAAGGCCATGTAATAAACACTCAAATTACTAACACACATAAATCCAGTAATATAGAAATATAATGTAAAATAATAAAAAAAAGAATTATTTGAATATACAAAAAATAGAATAATGTAAACAGTGTAAAGTGCTGATGAGCAGGAACAGCTGTTTGGACGTCGTCAGCTGCAGCGTGTCCTGCAGGGACGGGCGCCTCACTTCCTGTTTCTTCTTCATTCCTCTGACACATGAAGGGATCTCTGTCATCCGAGGAAAATGAAAAAAAGGCTAACAGTCTAAAAGACGAGAGGACGCCGTGTTTACAGTCGTCTTCATGACCCTCTGTGTGGCGTCTGCTCGCCCTCGCGCTCAGCTTCTTACAACATTTGTTTCTCTGTCACTCATCCTAGTCAGCCTTCATCATCGTCATCCTCCCGCCTGTCCCCCGCGGGCCGCCGGCTGCTGCAGCACGAGCGGTGGCGGTCATGTAGTGACCTCGTCAGACGAGACGAGAGTGAGCAACCAGACTGCGGCTGCATGGCGTGCCGCTGCTGAAGCGTCTCTTCACCTTGGAGTCCCGCGGCCTCAACGCGCTCTCTGCTCTGTTCATCCAGCGATGTCACAGGACGTCGAGTTTGAACTTCTCTGGCACTCTAACGCATCATGAGTGATATCCTCGTTTACGCTGCAGATACTCAAAGAGAGATGGCCCAAACGCCGTTTCCACGGTAACCTATTTGCCGGCGTTTCAGGTCCCTGAAAACGCAACGTTTTAATAACTGCTTCCAGAGTGCAAACTTAGTAAACAGTAACGTCTCCGTCGTCATGGTTACTGACAGTATGCAGCTCCTCTGAAAACAGACATTTTGCACATGCTCAGTACGCTTACAGTCAGGTGGACTACAACAGCAATGGCGGACTCCAGAGTTCTGTGTGTGCTCGCTCTTTGTGCTTCAGGGTAACTCGATGTGTTCGTCATGTTCGTATGTTTACACCTCACCGCTCTGGAGGAGGAAGAGCATGTGAGCATACACGAGTTATTTCATTAGAAAGCTACAGCGCCACCTACTGGCCTGGCATGTTTACTACAGCGTTTTTGCAGATCTGTCTAAACGTCGGCCTCTCAGTGGATCGTTTCCGTGTAAACGTGGTCTTAATGTGTTTCATGACATCCTACAAATTTCACAACATAGAATAGAATAGAATAGAATGACTTTATTGATCCCAAACTGGTAAGTTGTGGTGTTACAGCAGCAGGTTATCAGAGCAAATAAAACAATATAAGAATAGATACATAAATAAACACTTAGAATATAAAAAACAAGAATAAGAAGAGATTTATACATCAAGGATTTAACTTAACATTCTTACTGGTTTAATAACAAAATGAAAAATGAAATACAACATTTATTCAGGCTTTTCAACTGAATGTAAAAATACTTGCTGGAGGTAAGAGATGTAAGTTTTTATAAACAGTGATGATAGTGGTACATATGTAATAACAATATAGAGGAGTGCAGGAGTGTAGATACGTTATTCACTATAAAGATGAGCAGTCAGACAATGTGGTTAACTTAAACGTAAGGATAGTGTGTCAATATTACAAATAGATAGCAACATTTGCGATTCAAAAATGTAGTGAGATCATCCAACCAGGAGAATAATCGTTTTCTATTTATTTGACAACTTGAAGTCTCAAACATAAACTTACCAAAGAGTCGATGAGCGAGCGAGCGTTATTCTTCCTGCTCTAAAACAATTGTTTTCATTCAACTCTTTACTCGTCTTGTTTCTTTGTCCGTCTGCAGCCGTCCTCTTCACTCACACTGACGACGCTCCACTAACATTAGACATTGTTGTCTTGTTGTTTTCAGCTTCAGAGCGTGGTGTGATATAAACAGATTTAATGTCTGATAAACAGCAGCAAGAGGAGACGGAGCTGCAAGACAGGCTGAACAATAACAGGAAGACAGAGTGTGTGTGTGTGTGTGTGTGTGTGTGTGTGTGTGTGTGTGTGTGTGTGTGTGTGTGTGTGTGTGTGATAATACCAGCAGTCCATGGGGGGCTCAGTAAAGGTCATGACGACAGGTGTTATATCGCAGAGTAAGAGATCGACTTGTGTTATGAGAGCACGACTGTGACCTTAACTATAGGTTAACAAGGTCACTGATGACATCATCCACACACACGCACACACACACTCAGTTGAGTGAAGGGTTTGCTTCGAGGTTTTCTCTCAGACTCGTCGACTAACCACTGCAGAGTCAAATGAGCGTGTCGGTGATTGCTGATCTGGAAGCCAAAATGAGGACCTGTTAGAAAACATCTGCCAGGCTGAGCCCCGAGGACAGTCAGCAAAAGATGTGTGTGTGTGTGTGTGTGTGTGTGTGTGTGTGTGTGTGTGTGTGTGCATCCTTACTCTGACTCTTTAGCAAAAAGATACTGGAAGCTTCCCAGCTCTTGTTGGAGTGTTTCCACTCCCTCATCACAGGAAACAGAAAACTTCAAAAAGCTTTTTTTATTTTATAATCACAGCAGGAACATCTGGTGGTGAAAAATGAAGCTGATGCAGAAGTGCAACAAACTGCAGTTCCTCCAGTGTCCACTAGAGGCCAGCTGCAAAATCCAAAGAATCCTGATCAAGACTTTTTTTTTTTACTCATCCATTTTTATTATATTACATATTTATATTTATGACTTTCTTGGGATGATATGAGATGAAGACGCACAGACATAAACCGCTCTCGGCTCTGAACCATCATCTGCACGCTCGCCATCACCTGCAGGATGCTGCGTGTCATTAGGATGATAACAGAGGACCGGCCGAGGCCCCGGCGGGCGCTTTGATAAGTGCAAACCGCTCGCTCTGCAAGGTTTTGTCGCTCGACATTTTGGCAGAAGGAGCCATCGTGGTAATAACGGAGACGTGGTTGTTTTTGGGGAGGTGAACTTTTCAGAGCAGAGAGAGAGACGACAGGAGCGAGAACAAAGGCAGGCGGAGCAGCTGGAACAAGCTGCTCCCTGCAGGGAGATGAACCTGAAGTGAAGCTGCATTGTCTGTGTGTGTGTCTGTGTGTGTGTGTGTGTGTGTGTGTGTGTGTGGTTTAATGAGCTGCAGTGATTAACCCCGTCTCTTCATGTCTCTCTTTGTGTCTGCAGGCCGTCGAGACAAACCTGGCGTCCAAAGACAGCCACTGGGTGTTTGTGAACGAGGTAAGACACCGCCCACAGCATGACACTCTAAACTCTGTCAGAGCCCATCACAAGGTTATTTAGGGGATGACAGTTAACATGGAGCGTGTGTGTTTCCTCCAGCCAATGACAGCGCAGCAGGTGAGTTTAGGAGTGGATACAATTCAGTGATTGGATGAGATTCAAAGCGGTGAATATGACGGACGTGGACGTAGCAGCAAAGAAGAGAAAATATAATGAGAGTGAGGAGAAACACCAAGTGGATAAAGATCGTTCTGAAACGAGGGTGAACCTTGTGTTGTCTTTTACCCGTGGACGTGGAGTTGATCTACTTCCCTTGTTTTCACTTCCTGTCGTTGTCTCTCTCCTTTTCCTCTCGTTCTTACTCTCTTGCGTTCATCTCTTTGCATGAAAGCGTCTGATGAATGAATTGAAGTTCACAGATTTTTAAATTCAGAGGACCAAAAAAAAAACCCTTTAATTTTAATTCCTGTGACATTTAAACACAAAGAAGAAAAACATAATTATACCTCAATGAAGCAGAATTAAGATCGTTCGACAATCCTGTGGAGCTGAACTCAAGGTTGTAGCTCAAGGTTTTTATTTCCCTCCATCAGGTCAGACTCACTAATTACAGGTGAGAGTGAAACAGAGTGCAGGATAAAAGCTCCACAGACACTTTGAATAAAGAGCAGAAAACACAGACGAGAGTCAAAGAGCAGCTTCCTGTTCAGATAAAAAACCTTCCTGACCGAGTCTTTGTGTCGCTCTCCTCCAGCGTCTCTCTCTCGCCCTCTCTCTCTCTCTCTCTCTCTCTCTATCTCTGTCAGACGTCTGCCAGCATGGGCGACTTTCCACGCTGGAGGTAAAATTGAAAAGAGCGGGGGTGAAAAGAGAAAAGGACAGCGGCCTCCACGCCAGCTGGGATTGTGTTAAAAGCCCAAAAACAGGAGCACACGCCGCTCTGACTCTCTCTAAATGATTTTAATTTCTCTCTCTGCTCTGAGTGTTAATACCCCGACACCTTCCCGGCCAATTAGCTGAGCTGACAGCAGCGTTAGCAGCATCGTTCAGACGGAGACGGGCCGGACTGTCAGCCTGCTGCGGGCTGATTATCTCACCGCTCGCTCTCTCTCGTATCCCAGATTCATACCAAACTCCGCCCCCTTTAAATTCTCTTTTGTTTGAAAGTCATCATTTGACTAATGACCCTCGTAATTCTTTAATTAAGCAGACGAGGAAAACGCTCTTCAGACTCCCTCCTCTCACACGTCAAACAAAGGTTTCTGTAAAGGAATGCTGATTTCTGCTCATGTCCCGGTCTCATTCTGGGCGGAGTCCGGATTTTAAATCAAGACCGGTCAAGACCACAGCTGAAAGGTTTTCTCACATCATTCATAATTTGATTTGGTTTTGAGAGAGAGGGTGAAGCATGCTGGTGTAACAGAGCAGCTGTCAGTTTAATCTGATGAGTGGAGAGATGTCAATCTAAATTAAGTGACTGAGTCACTCTGAAGCTGCAGAGACTCTTTCAAATGTGAACATTTAGAAAGTACACGACTCCTCCAGGTCATTTTGTCTCTGGTCACATATCCTCCTCCTCCTCCTCTTCTTCAGTTTAAATAAGTCTCAGAGCTCCTCAAAACATGTGTGTGAAGTTTCTTGTTCTAAATCCACTCTGATCCTGTATTTGATCATGTCTATAAACCCCTCTATTTCAGCCCTGCTCAGAACAGGCTGTTTCTGTGTCTGTACCTTTAAATATGTAAATGAGCGGTGTCTGACCACGCCCCCTCTCTGGAAGGGCTTGGGTGTCTCGGTCTTTCTCGCTCCATGTCCTATTGTTTACTGTGAGAAGGCAGACTCAGAGGGCAGAACAAACACCTAGCTGTGGGAGTGTCACCCACCTGGGGGAGGGGCTACTGCCCTTTGTGATGTCATGAAGGGAAAATCTCCAAACGGCCTGTTTGAACACACATTTTCTGAAAAGTGGAGCAGGCAGAAGACGGAGAGGATGGACTTTTCTCATCATTGGGGGCACACTGCACCTGGTCGTGTACTTTAAATGAATGTAGATCGTTTTGTTCACATCGACTTAAAGACAAGTCGATGAGGTAACGAGCCTCGTGAGACCAAAGACAAGCTTCACAAAGGCCGTTAACGTGTTTCTCTTCGGGACGTCTTCATCAGCGGAGACATCGGCTCATCAGAGGAGGTCGTATATATTTTAAAAGAGGTTCATGTTAAAACAGAAGCATCCTTTAAAAGTCGAGTGAGAGGAGATTAAACGACTCCTCGCTGCCTCTTTGAAATGTAAATCAGAGAGAGAGAGGTGGTCACATGGTGTCCAGCTTCTTCTGCAGGTGTGTCTGTTTCACCATCACTCTGCATCCATGCTGCTTTGTTTCTCCGTCCTCCATTTATCTGTCCTCACACATCAGACACTCCAGGCTAACGACTCGTCAGGCCGCACGCCGGTAATGAGAGCGGCGAGCTCTGACAGCGAGGGAGTGGACGGAGAAAAACTATGAAAGACGTCCAAAGAGTGAGGTCATCTCGTTGATTAAAGTAGATCAGAAGTAGAAATGTGTCACTTTGTGTTTATCTCAAAGTCAGAATGTTGACACAGAGCTGAATGATGTCATCGATTAAAATGAGATTTAGTATTCACGCATCTGAACTCCTGAAAATACCTAGATAACTTCAGGAGGACTGCTCCTTTAATCCTCCTGACCCTGTTCACACATGCACCTCACAGCTGGAGACTTTACCTGTCAGACACAGTGTTGGGCAGTAAGGCGTTACAGGAATAATATTACTTTTACTAGTAAGGAGTAGTGTAAAGAATTACTAATGAAAGTCCAGTAATAATATTACAGTTACTCGTTACTACCTTACTGTTGTTGTTATTACCCCACTTCTGATTTAAAATGCAACAATCCCCAGATTCATTTCATCGCACACGTCAGCCGAGCAGGAAGGCAGCGAGCATCATGGTTGTCAGGTTTGCAGTTTTCCCGTTGAATCAGGCTTTATTTTAGCTGCTGCCGCGGGTAGTTTCTTTTTTTGGTCATCGGGCTTATTTTGTCATTTGTTGTCATACATACCTGGCAACCCTGGTTAGCTTGGAAGATTGGGGGCGTCTCCTGAAGTAAGACATGACTTTCTGCAGAATAAATACGAGGAGTCTGGAGGAGAAACATCCAGCTGTTTGTGTGATGCTCAGACTGAACACTTCAGGAGGCTTTAGGTGTGAGAGGATCATCAGACTGATGAAGGTGAAGTGGAGGCTGACACCTCGGTGCAGAGTCCAACAGCTTTATTTCCTGGTTTGCGATGAGCCTCCACAGACTCTCAGGCTGTAATATAAAGTCTAACAGCCTGTTTATGACAAACACCTCCACATATTTTCTATTATCTGCAGAGTTAAGGTGCAGCGTCTTCGCTTCACTACAAGCTGCAGTAAATTGTACACTCCGTCCTCTTTTAAGCGTCGTCGGTTCAGGATCTCATCTTCTTTAAAGACCCCATTACCTGCTGCTGGAAGTAACGTCGCACCCTGAGCGGATTCACACAAAATAACCCCCCATCCAAACCTCTTATCGGATTCTTCAGTGATTCCCATGATCCCCGGCTCCGCTCCCATTTGCTCTCAGGTCTACGCGCAGGTCATTACCATCCCTTTGTGATTTCACATCCATTTGTGCGCCTCTTCAGCCACAGCAGAAAGGAGCAGAAAGTACTTTGAATATTGATTGCATTGCTTTGTGTCTCATTGAGTCACACCTCTCTCTTTTTGCTGTTTCATCTAACCTTCATGAAGTCTCAATTCTCCAAAACCTCAAAGAGCGCAGACAAAGAGAACAGAGCGTTTCAGAGAGTAAAAGGTCCGTCGGGACTAATTAGAATTATTAATGGTTCAGATTTATTCAAGCACAGCGCCTGGAGTGAGAGAAATACTGACTTCATATCCCGTCTCTAGGAGTTTCAGGACTTATAAAAACTCAGAGATTAGCTCTTTGAGATGCTCTACACGGCCGGTGAAAGAAGTGAAGTGCACAAAGACGCTCCATGAAGACACGTCTCACTGACAATGAAATCCCTTTAAACAGAGATCTGAGTGTGAGGGACCAATTTCATCGTCTTCAAACTCAAACTGTGTTCTTGCTTCCTGAGATATTACGAGAAGTAAAAAAAAAGACACACAGAAAGTCAAAGAGTTTAAAAGGAGGTGGCGGCCTGGAGGAGCTTAAATAAGGCGGCAGGAGTGCCATCAGCCAATAGGATGCTTTGAAACCAATCATCTGACCATCAGCTGATGAGGGCGTGTATGAGATCAGCTGTTCAGTTTGAGAAATGGAATGAGATTCAGACTGAGGAAAACTTCAGAAAGGTCAAAGTGTGTCGTTTTCTCAGAAACTGTTCTCAGGCAGAATATTTGTGATTAACAAATCATCGATGGCGATGTGCTCCATTTGGTTATTTTTATTTAATACGGACAGTAAGAATGTCGCAACATTTTGTAATTAAAGTTTTTTTATTTTTTTTATTTTCTATTATCATATTTTATTTTTCCCCTTATTTTATAAATGTGTATATATGTGCATGTGTGTATATATATATATATATAGTAGAAACACTTTCTGTCAGAATGATGTCATTTAACCCTGCGCTGCCCAATCAAGCAGCACAGCGGCGTGCGACGTGGACACGATGCCCACGCGTCTGTTTCCTGTCGACGACGTCAATCAACGGGCGAGAAAGTAAACACGGCCCATAGGACGCAATTAGAGAAGCCGGACTTTAAAACCTGTCCTGACTTTAATGTGACATGTTTTTGATAAAAAAACGCTCCAATAAAGAAAGCGACAAAATCCCGGCGACTTTGTTTACCGGCCCCCGGCTGCTTTTTAATTGGCTGGCAGGAACCTGAATATGAAGGAGAAACGACGTGGACGTCTTCCATTCAACACAGCGAGTCAGCATCACGTCGGGCGCTGTAATTATATTCTCTTAACATTCTCTGATTATTTCTCTGTTTTTTAGACTTTAATTGAAGCTATCTATAATTACGCCTCACAGAGAGTAATTGGCTTTCTCTGCGTCAAAACGATTAAACGCGTTGTCACTAAAGACGCCGTCTGTGAGGGGACGTCACCAATCAGAGCTCATCATTAATGTGGCAGAAGACAGTGACTTTATTTTGGGGGCGTTGAGGTTTAATCAGAGCAAACAGCAAACATTCAAACCTTTAAAACACCTTTGAGGAATTCAGCATCAGAGTCCTCCTCCTTGCAAGAAGTCCACAACACTTCAAAACAAATAAACAGAAATTTACTTAAAAGAGGTCAGCAGGTCATTTGTTCCAGAGAGAAGATCCCTGAAGGCCCCCCTTTCCGAACTTTGTGGGTACGGCTCACAGACCTGATAACTTGAGGGTCTGGGGTCGGGTTGTGGTCTGTGAGCAGGTCTCCTCAGGATCTGAACCTTTTGAGGATTTTGAAGGTGATTCTGTATCGGAGAGCCGGGGGTGTGTTTCGAGGAGCGGGGTGATGCGTTCAGGTGCTCTTGTACATACTGAAAGTCAACCTACAGATTGTTTGGAGAGGCCGGCACACAGAGCAGTAACATGCAACATCAGAATCAGAATCAGAATCAGAATCAGAATCAGAATCAGAATCAGAATCAGAATCAGAATCTGGGTTTATTACCAAGTACATTTACACATAAAGGAATCTGACTTGGTGTATTGGTGCTAAACAATTAACAAGGAAATAAAGCAGAACTAACAACAACTTAAATAATACAGAAGAAGAAGATATTACAATATATAAAATAGAATTTAAAAATATAAAAAAATAAAATAAAATAAAATAAATAAAACACAAAATGTACACGCGCATGCAGAATGAATTAAAAAAAAGATGTAAAATGTTTTACTCAGTCCCTCCTCTTCCTCCTCTCTGCAGGAAATCAGCGACACAGAGATCCTGGAGCTTACCCACAGTGCACTGGGGCGGATGACGGTGATCCGGCAGATCTTCCCCCTGTGGAGGGACAGCAGCACCCGCTGCATGAGACAGAACCACCGCATCTCGTCTCTGCTGTGTGACCCGCAGGAGGGCTACCTGCAGAACCTGGAGGTGAGCTTCTTATGAGCGTCAGCATGGAGCGAGGTTTGTCTGCAGGTGATCAGAGGTTTGGTGACTGACGCGTGGAAGGTCATTATTCAGTTTCAGGTCTCTGATGTCCAGACCTCCGGTTTACTCTTAAAGCACATAGTTTAAAAAGAGGTTTGTGTTTTTAGGAACCTTATAATAACTTAATTTATATAGCACCTTTAAAAACAAATGTTTACAAAGTGCTGTGACAGACAAATACAGCAAAACAACAACAGAACAGAGATACACAGAGAGGGCAAAATTATAAAAATGTAAATAACAGGAATAAGATTCAACAGAGCAGGTATGGAGTTTAAAAAATGAGTTTAAAATCAACCAGGAGAGAACAAAATGAAACCTGAGGGAGAGTGGGACGACATCACATCACAGGCTGTAAACACAGAATGAAGATAAAAAGAAGGAAAAACAGGAGATTGGTTAAATGAATAAAGCAACAGAGAGCTGAAGAGTTAAACGATTAAAGGAGGAGGAATTTAAAAAGACTAAGGGCAGTAAAATGAAGGGATAGAATTTTAAAGGGAGAAATCACACTTTGAGCTCAGGATGGTTAGAAACATGTTTTCTCATCTTTGCCCTCTTTCTGTTTAATTTGAAGAACTGGTGCAATCTGATTCTGAGTCATTATTTAGATCACACAGAGTCGTGAATATCATCCAAACACAGAGAGCGTCCTGATTAAAGCGCTCCATGATGAGAGTTTACACCTCGGGACTTCATTAAGTAGTTAGTACAACATGGTAACCAGACAGTAAACGTTATTAAACTGAGGGGAAAAGCTCGTTATGATGAGAGTTACTCATTTAATAAAAACACATAAAAGATTTCTCCAGAGACTGAAGAGAACAAACATTCAGGAAGAAAACAAACTGATGAGGGAGGAATGACTCAGACGTAAAGTTCAAACCAACGAGGGTCAATATCTGACCCAACTGTAAACTGGTACTGACACTGGAGGGGGGTCCGGCTGCAGACCTCCACTGTCAGCCCCCTGCCTCTGCATGAATGAAACACACACACACACACACACACACACACACACACACACACACACACACACACACTAGACACATGCACGCACACACACACACACACATTGGAGATTTTCCCCTCGAAAATACGAATCAATCAGTCGCTCCTTCACCATTGTTGTTGACGAAAGCTGATATCAGACGTCCCGCCCCTTCTTGATTCTTATTGGTCGATGAGGAATGACACATGGACTTGAGCTTGTTTTGTTCTCTTTCTGATGTTCTGTGAGACCGTTTGTTGTGATCTGATGTTTCCCTCCCTTTGGACGTGGAGGTGACATCACAGAGCGCTACGGCGCAGCGTGCAAGACCGGCAAGCGAGAACCTGCGCTCAGCTCAGCGGGGCTTTAACTGCCTCTTTCTGAAAGGCCGACTCGGTCTGTTCATATCAGTTTGTCGTCTCAGAGCGACGAGCAGCATTGAATTTGTTCTGTTTTGTTTGCTCTGAATGTGTTTGTCTGCAGGAGAAAGAAAAGAGCTGTATTTATAAAGTCTTAGTGTTTTCGCCGCGGGCTCTGAGCACAAAACACTGTCGAACACTTCCACTCAGATTTATGTCACGGTGTCATCGTCAGAGCGGAGGACTGCCTGAAACAGCATCTGAGATAAATACGACACATTTCAGGCCTTATCTGTGTTTTCTGACCAGATGTGCAGCTGCTGTCTGCACTTTGTCCCGCAGCAGACGAGTTTTACACGTCGCCGCAGATCTCGCTGATTTGTTCACATTTGATCTTACAGAAAAAGAAACATTTAGCAGATTTCTACTCGTGGCTGTTTTTCTTTCCCCATCTGCCACATGAGTACAGCATCAGTGCTGTATATCTACGACTGTGTGTGTGTGTGTGTGTGTGTGTGTGTGTGTGTGTGTGTGTGTGTGTGTGTGTGTGTGTGTGTCATGGCCCAAGGCAGTGTGTTGTACGGACTTCATGACAGTCAGCTGTTCTCATCTGGACAGACTGATGCTCATTTGTCACCCTGTATCTGGTCTCTGGACATATATGTGTGTGTGTGTGTGTGTGTGTGTGTGTGTGTGTGTGTGTGTGTGTGTGTGTGTGTGTGTGTTTGTGTGTGTTTATGTCTATCAGAAAGGCTGAAATACTTTTTATAATTTATTATAAAATCCAGAATAAAAGTCTCACCGGTCGTCTTTTTACCAGCGTGGTCTGCATCGTTATGTATCCCAGCATGCTTTGAGTTCCACGATGTCTGGGGGAGAGTTTTCAGGCGGTATGATGATGATGATGATGATGCGGCAGTGTTAGTGGTCATGACGACCCGTGGAGGTGATGCCTTCAGGGACGGTCGTAGATGAAGTTTAAACAGAGGCTCGTTCTGTTCTTGTTAACATCTGGAGACATCTGGTCCCCTCCTCACTCTTTTCCTTTCTCTCCCCTCCTCTCTCCAGGTGTCCAGCCTCTACCTGTACGACAGCGTGCTCATGCTCGCCAACGCCTTCTACAGGAAGCTGGAGGACAGGAAGTGGCATAGTATGGCGAGCCTCAACTGTATCAGGAAGTCGACCAAACCGTGGAACGGCGGCTGGTCCATGCTGGAGACTATCCAGAAGGTACCGAGGTCTTTACCTCAACAGTTCCCCTTTGGTGTCGTGGTGCGTTCAGGGTCGAATGCTCTGCAGCCTTTCTGATGGTTTGCTTTGTAATCTCCGAGTCATTATCTATTCATGGTTTTACAAATGTGTCATTTGTATTCCAGATATAATTAGAGTCCTGTGTTTTGTTTTCATTTTCCACAGAAATAAATCCTAATGAGGCTCTTTTAGTTTGAAATCAAGCTTCAATATGGTGTTAGTTCAGTGTGCCGGATTGTCTAATGAGAATGTCTTCAAGGCTGTCGAACTTATTAACAGCATGATGGGATTGCTTGTTAGTTGATTCAGTCGCCTTGATCTCGTCTGCGGCGTTTGAACAGAGAATCGTGCGCCGAGCACGGTGGTGTACGTGTTTTGTTTCCTGTTAAAGATTTGATTTAAAAAACCTTTGAAGACGGAGGAGAACATCAAACATGATCTAGTTTTACAATCTGGACAAATAAAAGAATAAAGGGCGTCTTTGTGTCAGTGAGCAGGAGATGAATGAAACATGAATCACGTGTGATGTGCGTCTAAATAAGAGAACGACTCTATCCACTGTCCTCTCTGCATTAAAGGCACGAAAAGCCCAAAAATAAATCTTTAAAAAAAAAATGTGTACTGCAGTCTAAATTCTAAACATCATGTAGAGCTGTCTCCCCCCTTCCTCTCTAGAGTGGATGCTCACTCAGGTCACCATGTGGTGGACTCTGAAGCTTCAGTGTTTATCCAGCTCTGCATGGGTCTGTAAACCTTTCTGTGTTCTAACCTCTCTCCATTTTTCAAAAGCATCTCCAATATTGATCCTAGTTTGAGCACGTTTCTGCTCGTGGAGCTTATTAGAAACATGCAGAGGCTTTTTAGGTCGGGTACAATCACTTCTATCTGAACCACTTCTCTTGACCGCTTCCATCGCTGCAACACCTGTTGACCTGATAACTGCTCTCATATCTGACAAAACGAGGGGCGTCCAAAACGGCCGTGTGGGGGGGGTGTCTTAAAAGCGCCTACCTTCTCTGGTCCAAACAAATCCAGAGCATTCAGGAGCAGAATGTAAAGTTAGAAGGAGGACATACTGGCTGCTGCATTGTTGTCAGAGAAGCCAGCACTTCAACATAGCATGTTTCCTTAATGATCAGAGAGTAAGATACCTTTATCATTTCTTTTAGTTTGTTCAGCAGCCACACAAAGACAGCAGAGACTCAAACAATAGAAAACTATCACCCAAGTTATGAAAATAAATAAAACATGGGTGACTATAAACCCGTCTTCTTGGCGAGCTTCTCGGCTGTGTCAGGAGGTCGTTCCTACAGTTTGAATTATATATGGGTTGTTTTTCTTCCTGCAGCCGACGGAGAGCCGTACATCAGCACTCCTCGCTCAGAGTAAAATGACCATTTTTTGTTTGTTTTTGTGTCTTTGAACTTGAACATTTCCACCAGCAGCAATCTCGCCGACTATTTTGTTGATGAGATGGAAAATGACTTTGTGAGAGGAGTGAAAAATGGACAGGGTACAGAAATTCATTGTTCTTTATTTTTCTTCAGTGAATTACTTCCTCCATCTTTTCTGCTTATATTACCTTTGCTTCTGTGTATTGCCTTGTCAGTGTAAATAACCTGAGTCACGCTACTCCATCAATACTACCTCAGACATTAAAGGTATGAACCGTGTGTTTTCATTTAAAGGAAGAATGTGCAACTCTTTGATCCAGTAGATGTCGCCCCTGGGGCTCTAGCATGAAACCAAAACAAACTGCTGATTGGCCACACCTCCTCCATACTGAAGCCTCCACTCTTCTCCAGAGACACACCTCCAACCCCTCCCACTCGCGTTCGCACTAAGAAGGTCACATATCCTCCTCCTCCTCTTCTTCAGTTTAAATAAGTGTCAGAGCTCCTCAAAACATGTGTGTGAAGTTTCTTGTTCTAAATCCACTCTGATCCTGTATTTGATCATGTCTATAAACCCCCTATTTCAGCCCTGCTCAGAACAGACTGTTTCTGTGTCTGTACCTTTAAATATGTAAATGAGCTGTGTCTGACCACGCCTCCTCTCTGGAAGGGCTTGGGTGTCTATGTCTTTCTCGCTCCATGTCCTATTGTTTACGGTGAGAAGGCAGACTCAGAGGGCAGAACAAACACCTAGCTGTGGGAGTGTCACCCACCTGGGGGAGGGGCTACTGCCCTTTGTGATGTCATGAAGGGAAAATCTCCAAATGGCCTGTTTGAGCACACATTTTCTGAAAAGTGGAGCAGGCAGAAGACGGACAGGATGGACTTTTCTCATCATTGGGGGGTTTGTAGACGGAATAGAGGAACATGGGGAAGAGGATTTTATATTTTGTGACCTTTAAGTCACACTGAAAGACCAGAGTTTAAAACCTGCTCTGTCTTACAAACACCAAACAGTCAGGGTTTGATTTTCTAGAGGAGGTCAGGATGCATCAGTGAGTTTATAGAAAGCTGCACACAGACCTAAAGACACTTCATCAAACACTTAGTCGTCCAGGTGACGCTGAGTCTGACCTTTACAGCTGACAGGTGTGTTCACTCTCTTTACGTCCAACATGAAGCGAGTCATGAAACAACATTTACAAACGGCCTTTTACTGCAGTCACATGAAGTGTGTTCAGCTCCCTCACTCTGGCTGTAATGATGTTTGCTACGACGCGTCATAACATCTCTAAACACGGCTCGCCTGTTTGTATCCTACAGAAAAACCTCGGAGGCATCAGATCAACAAGGGAGCCGGTGAGCGAGCGAGCGAGTGAGCGAGTGAACAGGCGTCTCTGATCATGAATTAATAATGCTGAACATTAATACATGTACGTCTTTATCATAGTCTTTACTGTACTAATGGCCTCCACAGGGTCTCTGTGCGCCTCGCGTCTCTCTGGGGTTTTCACTCTGGCATCAATATCAGCCAGTTTAGCAGCTCCCAAAGCATCATGGGATACCGCCTGGTATTAAACATCCAGAGGGGGTGGCGGCAGCAGCTCCAAAGGTCAGAGCGGAAAAAACAGCAGAATGTGATTTAGCTGTTCGTCATGTTTCTTCTCCTTTATTCCACATTTTCTCGACATTTATCGTTTTCTGATTTTCACTCCATCCGACTCGCATGCAGGACGTTCCTCCAATGAAAAGAGTTTATTCATGCCAAGCCGTTACAGGAAACGCGTCGTTTGTTTGAGGAAGACAAAGATGATCTGCAGACAAACACAGGAGAAACGAATCCTCACATGGAAGAGGCTCTCCTCAGCAGTGACCATCCGGCGCTGTTTTCACCTTCAGTTCACCATTACCTGCTGTGTGGACCAATCAGAGAGGAGCTATAGGACATAATACACCTTCATATCAACTTTTATCTAGAAGGGTTCCTGCAGTTTTTTTTCTGAGCACACACAACAACCTGCTGAGGATTTGTGATTGGTCATTACAGCTCTGTGTCCTGCATTGTTGTGTTAGCATGCTAATGTTAGCGCTTTTTAGTTAGCTCACAGCTTCACATTGTTGTGTTAGCATGCTAATGTTAGCGCTCTTTAGTTAGCTCATAGCTTCACATTGTTGTGTTAGCATGCTAATGTTAGCGCTCTTTAGTTAGCTCGTAGCTTCACATTAGCTGTGTCCTGCATTGTTGTGTTAGCATGCTAATGTTAGCGCTCTTTAGTTAGCTCATAGCTTCACATTGTTGTGTTAGCATGCTAATGTTAGCGCTCTGTAGTTAGCTCGTAGCTTCACATTTCATGTAAACTGACACAGAATGAGCGTGATGTAAAAACTCTTACTAACATCCAAATAATCAGTGAGTATGTTCTTCTTCTTCTCTCTAGTTCTTGACTAAAACAGCTTTTATACACAAGGGGAGGAGCCGGCCGTCCCGTCCATGTAAACACGGCTCTGACAACAACACAGCCAGCGGGACTCGAGCTTCTCCCTCATTGTAGACAGTCAGGACTCAGAGACACATTTACACAGGACAGACTTTAGGATTTATTGATGTGGAACATGTTGAACATTCTTCCTTTAAGATGAAGGGTGTACCATTGTTCAAGTATTTATTGTTTTTATATTAAAAGGTTTAACAGGGAAACTCTGACGCTAAAGTCGTGTACTCTTTGGATCAACCCAAAGTGCATTAAATATAAGTGAGCCATGTAAATGATGACTTCTGGTTTTCCTTTCAGGGGAACATCACAGGTCTCACAGGTACGATGGACTTCAAGGACAGCGGCTCAAACTCTCAGGTCACGTTCGAGATCCTCGGCTCCAGCTTCAGCGAGACCTTCGGCAAAGACATCAAGAGGGTGAGTTCTCCGTTCTTCTCTCACGAGCCGATGATGTGGAAATAAACGGTGCAGAGGCATCGCCTACGCGAGTCAAAGCTGAAAGTCTGCAGCCTGAAATCCAGACTGAACCTTTGTTTAGTAATGGAACATTGACCTCCTCTGAACCTGGTCCGGAGTCCTGCCAACACACTGAGGTTAGAATAATCTGGGACTTTAGTTTTTATTCGTTTTTAATGCTTTTAATTTTTGTTTTTATGACCCATGAAGTAAAGAAAACTTAAGATCACATCATACTGTGCACACAAACTTCATGATGACACCCCTGCATAAGTTGGGCGCCCCCACCCTCCACAAAAGTTTTTGGATGCGCCCCTGCTTGTCAAACTTGCACTAAGACGATTGAAATCATGTCATGTAGCTTCGCTCAGCAGCTGACTTTACAGATCTATGGCAGGTCCTGTTGCTGGGACAACGGGGGCTAAATGAATCACTGAACCGCCATTATCCCGCCTTCAAAGCCTCATGGGAGCTGTAGTCATTGAACAGGTCCTCCTTTGTGCACAGAGAGTTGTCACTTCATTCATTTTTCTATTTCTCACAAAGCTTGTTTACCTTTTGTCACGTTGACCTTGATTAACGGCGTCTATGTTAACCGATCGACGTTCAGCAGGAGAAATGAGCGTTAATGAATTCACTGAAGAGTCGATGTTCATGTGTGTGTAAGACGTCTTATGGTTGATTAATCACTACAGTTGACCTGCTGTGTAATTAACACTCTGCATGGAGTGTGTGTCAGTGCATGACCTTGACCTCCGGGTGACCCTGTGTATTATCAGCTCCTGTTTGACCTTCATGACCTCCGTGTGCTGTAAGCTGCTGCACTGATCAGCCACTCTTCTTCTGACTGAACAATCTGTAATGTTCCTTTTTTTACACAACGACACGATGTGGAAGAATAATCCTGTTTTCAAAGCTGTCTGATGTAACAGCGAGCGCCATTGTGCTGCAGCGTTAGGTAAGGTTGAGAGAGGCGACTTTTTAAAGGAGGAAACATCACGAGATCAAACTCTGTGACCTGTTGTATAAACGAGGACACTTTGAGCCTTTGGAAACGTATTTCATGGAGCTTCTTTCACGTTTAGACTCAGAGGACAGCTCGTCACCTCAAAGTGAACAGATAAAAGTTTTAAAAATAAAAAGAGAAAAACACAAAAAAACTAGATAAAAGTATCAGTGACACATAGAAGGAAATGCATTAGGGTCCACAAGCTCATTCAGAGCGCTTTGTATTTCTGCTTACTGTTGCTAGGTTACGTACGTTCTCTTGGTGGTGACCGTTAAAGCCACTGTGAGCAGTTTAGGACTGACATTCTGTCCTGAGACAGCATTTCCAGCATGGAGACCGCCATCAATGGGACTCCAGCGCCCCCTGCAGGAACAGACGGGGGATGTCACTCAGGCTTCATCCAGTTATATTTACAAGTGTTGGAATATTGTAATACCACTACCAATGTCATGATGAAGATTCTGTAATTTCAAGGTTTACTGTTGGTTCCACTTTTCCTTGACCACTTGTGACAAACAGGCATGGGTGACGGTACATCTACCGGAAAGAGGGTAGAGCAGCTTCCTGCAGAAACCCACATTCAAAACCAGTCACAGTTCAGCAAGAAACTGCTTAGGCTATGTCGTCTTAAACATCACTTTGTCTATTTATTAATTGGTTGTTAGTCTTTCTGAAGACCTTCTGAAGCACCTGTGCTGTGTTTGATGCAGACATTAGAGAGGGGGCGTGTGAGCCGGTGGGAAAACAAGTTTTGTTGTGTTGGATGGATACAATTAAACGTCGGTCTGTCCTGAAATCGTTCTGAGCTGAATCACAGTATCCACCTGACGTGTCTGACTCTGCAGGATTACCTGAGCTGGAAAATCTCAAGTTGATCTCCTAACGGCTGGTTTCTGCAGGCAGTCTGGACGTGTTTGGCGTGGAGAAAATACGAGGCTGGTGTGAGCTGATCACACAGAACAAACTTTGATAGAGTTTCTGACTTGCAGGTAGATGTTGTCTTGCCCGGCGGTGAGATATCAGACACGCTCACTCGATTCATTTTCCCCCCACAGTGTCTGCGTTATCCAAATCTCCATCTCCATCTCCCTGTGCCGTCGCCGCCTCCACTCCCTCCTCCCGGGGGCCGTTTCTCTCAAAGTACATTCTCCCCCACAGACGACACGCCGCCCCTCCCCCCACCTCCACATCAGACCTGATCGAGATTGAAATGTCATTTCCCTCTTTTCCAGGAAACTTGGGGCCCTTCAGACCTCCCCCGTGTGTTATCCCATCTATCTGTCCTCACTTTTCTCATCTCATTGACTTCTGATGTGTCTTCGCAGCAATTTGTTGTCGTTAAATCACCCTCCCACGAAACTCAGAGGGGAAAAAAATATTTTTTATCTTCTTGGATTGGTAGCATCGTCTCAACGTGTGTCACAAGACATTACACTCTCGCCCACGATCCTCAAAGGGAGTGTCAGCAAGTAGCTGTTTTTAATCAGACAGAAGATGGCCGCTGGGATCACTACAGCAGACAGATCCGCTCTCCAGCTTCTAATGGGGCCCTGATATAGCTCCAGTGGTTCACAAACTGGGGTCTGAGGACTCTCAGAGGTCCCGTAGGGAGTCGTAACAGGTCACTGTGGTAAATGAGAAAAGTTAAGGACTATTTAACTATGAATATAAACAAGTGAGAGCGGCATTATCAGCCCAATTCTCCATCAGTGGTGCTGTTGGTGTCGATCAGGGACCCTGCAACAACCTCAGACTCTGGACATTTAAAGATTCACATACAGAATATAGGAGTCTAACATACAAAGACTTGGTACCCTGATAAGATGTAAACTCCATGCAAAGAGAAACCTACTGAAACGGACGTATTCATACTTTTTTTTAAGTTTACCACCAAAATGTATTTTTCAGGTTTAGAAAACAAGACTCTGGTTTGAGCTGAAAAATGCATCCCAGTTATTGTAGTTCCATTCTTTCTTGATGCACAAATATTAGGAGAAGTCAAAGACAAGTTCTGGTCCCACATTGGACACAAACTCCAGAATCCTAAGTGAAAGTTACTTTTGACCCATCCAATGCCCAAACCTACACTACCAACCAAAATGGACGTTATTGTCAGGTGAGGGTTGGAACCAAGACAGAATCGAAAGCTTGACCTTCAGGCTCCACGACGGTCCAGTAAAACGCCCGCAAAACTGCAGGCGTGAACGAGACCCCCAGATACTTAAACTCTTTCACTTGCAGCGAAGACCCTCTTCCCACCCAGAGGATGCAGTCCACCGTTCCCCGGGACAGAACCATGGCCTCGGACTTGGAGGTGCTGACCCTGCAGTTTGTATCAACATGTTAAAATAAATGCAAGTTTGCTTTTGCTTGCTGCAACATTGTTTATTGCTCTCCATGCATTACTCCAGAAAACTCATCATTTATTTAAAAGCTGCTTCCAGCACTTTGATCGCATCTCGTTTATATTCATACATTAGTCAGTTCATACAAGGCTTTAGGGATTCTTTAGGGATTCTCTTGTGCATCACGTTTGGCGTTTGGCGATCTGAGTAGCACGGCAAATTGTTATAAAACTTATAAAATCATTATGTGACATCTGAACATGGATATAAGACTTGTGTAATTAGGTTTACATAATAATGACTCTCTGAATAAAAGATTATATAACCTTTGTCGTAACATTAGAATCCTTTGCGTTCCATACACACTGATATATGAAGCTGATTGGCCCACAGTCCCAGCATCGCTCATATTTACATCCTCTATATTCTCTCCTTTCTCTTCTTTGTCTCCGTCCCACTCTTCACTCCCACAGAAGAGGTCTGCAATTATTTAGTTGAGGATAGAAATTACTCAGCCATTTGTCCGTAATAGGGACCGCATTGTTAGCGGCCCTTCTGAAATGAATCCATTAGAAATGTTGGAGAATGAAAATGAGCCTTAGACGGTGCTAATTTCAAATCCCTGTGGTAATTCGGAGTCGTTAACAACAATTTGTGCCTTTGAAATCTCCAAGCCTGCTAATTTCTGTGAATAATGCATGGAACAAGATAGATATTTTCTGCCTTTTCATTTTCCCCCTCACAGCCAGAGAGAAGGGGTCTTTCTTTCTGTATTAGCGTGGGCGCGGATGAATGTTCACTGTCCCGTTAAGAGACATCAAATTAGACGTGGTGATTAATGTAGGACTGAAAATGAGGAAGCTGTTAACAAACTGACGGACAATAACAGATGTACTGCTTTCAGAAGAGACGGAAGATAAAGACCATTCAGTCATGGCTGTTTTCTGTAGCTCCTTATTTGTGCATTTAAGGCTGCAACAACGAATCATCAGTCAAACCACAAGGAGCCTCCTTGGCCTCTTTTACCTCATCTCTTTTCTTCCAGAACATCAAGGAACTTATTTTATTCTTGTGCTCCTCCTTTTTCTTCTCCTTCATTTTCTTCTCTTCCATTTTCTTCTTCTTTTCTTGCTTCTTCTTTTGTTTCCTTCCTTCTTTTCTTTCTTTTTCTGTTTCTCTTCCTCCGTCTTCCCTTTAAACATTCTCAACCAGAGGCCTTTCTTATTCTTCTTTTCTGTCAGACAGACCTCCAGGCAGTAGCGGAGCGAGTGTGGGGGCAGAAGGTGCGGCCGCCCCGGGCCCACTGTTGTCTCAAGGGGCCCACTGTTGTCTCAAGGGGCCCACTGTTGTCTCAAGGGGCCCACTTTGAGCCAAATTTAACATGCATTTTGTTATTTAGTTGAATTTTCTATTAAAGTTAGTTTGACTAGGTCTGAGTCTCTCTTTTATTTTGCTGCAATCAAGACACACAGTGTATTTTGTAGAGCAGAGAGGGGCCCCCCTTTACTGCCAAGGGGGTTCTCAACTACGGCAGCAAACAGCACCAGCAGGGTGCTGTGGCCTGTTTGTAATGTCATTGATTCCACCTCTTAGCACCCCCTTTGCTG